TCAAGTGAAAATGACGCCCCGGGTCGGTATCTACGTCCTCTTAGAGGTTGTTCCTTCGTCTGATTTACCGTCGAGAGGTAACTGTACGTATAATTATCTCTCGCGTGTCGTGCGTGGAAATATCCCCGCGACTTGTCCACCCAGAACCTCTGGCCCGTTCCTATTTTTATCGACTATGGATTTTTTTTTCCCGAATCACCACGCACTCCAAGAGAAAGTCGCCGAGACGTGTAACGACGTCGACTGGTGTTTTTATCATTACCCACGATCTTGGAAACTACATACACCTAACGCAATAAAGTTATTGCGCGTACTCTCTCGGAGTACTTTATCACCTAATGATAATATATCCTCGCACAATCGATACGGCGATATTTGACAATCGTTTAGTTTACGCTCGTCACAGCGACTCGGTTCAGGCGAAAGCCGACGGAAACTTTCCTACCGTTTTCGAAAGATCCCTTGGCCGCTTGCCCAATTTAACACTTTTAATACAATCGGTTAACTTTCCAAAAAGTCGCTCTTAGATTCTCTGTATCCAAGGAGACGGATTTCAGGATCGGAAAACTGAACGGATAAAAATTGCTGCCGCTCGTCGTGCACGCTCCAGTGTCGCCATTTTCTTTTTTTCTTCTTCTTTAAAATCTGTTATTCCCTGGTAACGTTAAATGCGTTGATGAACACATGGTAAAACTTCATTTTTCTTCATCTTCAACCTTGTCAATGCAACTATGCAACATGTACTAATTTGCACAATTTACAATGATATATAAAATAATGTCAATTTTGGATTTATTAGAGATTCTTATCCATTGGCAAGAACTTGCAACATTTCTTGATAGAGTAGCTTATTACGTTTACCCTACCAACAAATTTCAAGCAAATCTATTACAGCAAGTCTCTTTAGCAAGTATTTTTCTTCATCTTCAACCATGTCAATGCAACTTCAAACATAGTCTGATATAGAATACTTGACAACTGTACTGATTTACACAACAATTCACAATGATATTTAAAATGTCAATTTTGGGTTTATTAAAGATTCGTGTCCATTAGCGAAAACTTGCAACATGTCTTGCTAGAGTAGCTTGTTACGTTTACCCTACCAACAAATTTGAACCATATCCATTACAGCAAGACTCTTTAGGAAGTACTCCTCTTCGTCTTGATTTATTAACGATTCGTGTCCATTGACAAGAGCTTGCAATATTTCTTGCTACAATGATATTTAAAATGTCAATTTGGGGTTTATTAAAGATTCGGGTCCATTGGGAAGAACTTGCAACATTTCATGCTAGAGCAGCTTGTTACGTTTACTCTACCAACAAATTTGAAGCAAATCCATTACAGCAAGTCTCTTCAGCAAGTACTCTTCTTCGTCTTCATTTATTAATGATTCGTGTCCATTGACAAGACCTTGCAACATTTCTTGTTAGAGCAGCTTCTTACGTTTACCCTACCAACAAATTTGATTCAAATCCATTACAACAAGACACTTTAGGAAGTACTCCTCTTCGTCTTGATTTATTAACGATTCGTGTCCATTGACAAGAGCTTGCAATATTTCTTGCTACAATGATATTTAAAATGTCAATTTTGGGTTTATTAAAGATTCGAGTCCATTGGGAAGAACTTGCAACATTTGTTGCTAGAGCAGCTTCTTACGTTTACCCTACCAACAAATTTGAAGCAAAACCATTACAGCAAGTATCCTTCTTCGTCTTGATTTATTAATGATTCGTGTCCATTGACAAGACCTTGCAATATTTCTTGCTACACTGATATTTAAAATGTTAATTTAGGGTTAATTAAAGATTCGGCTCCATTGGAAAGAACTTGCAACATTTCTTGCTAGAGCAGCTTCTTACGTTTACCCTACCAACAAATTTCAAGCAAGTCCATTACAGCAAGTACTCGCAAGACGAGTTGCGGAGGTAATTTACCTTATCGTCCACATTCTAGCCACACACTTGCAGGAATCTTGCTTAGAAACGAGATATCGGCTATTGAGAATATCTCGTAACGAAACAGTAATCGCTGCAATTATAATTAAAAAAAGAAGTTACCGACCCGAAAAACGTCATGCTCAACCTTAACTCTTGTAAATATCAGTATACACGAGTTTCTTGTAAAAGCTGACAAGCGTTCGTGGAATAGTGCAATAAATTTTCTCAAGATCATGATCACATTATCGGTAATAAATATTCGGGAACAGCACTGGCAAGTTATTCTTGCCACTCGATGACAACTTTATTGAGCGATAGGTTTAAATCATCCGAAAAGAAACAAAACACTTTGAGGCCTTTCAAATACTGGTATTCGAACGCTGGAAGCCATTCGAAAGATAATCATCAATTACATACAGTTAAGGGGATGTGAAAGTGGCATCCGAAAGCTCAATCGTTCATAAAACTTTTCTACGAATTGGGTGTCTCAAATCGTTTCATACTTTAAAACGTGAATATGGAGACCCTAAGATAGGTCCTAAAACTCGCGAAATTTCCTTTTATATAAACTATTTTTAAAATACCTATAAACAAATTTCAAAAGAATTGAAATTTCATGAGTTTCAGGACCTTCCTTACAGTCTCCCTATTCACGTTGTAAAGTTTCAAACTATTCGGTAAACCGAGTTGGGAGAAAAGTTTTCTAAACAAAACCTCTTCGACGCCACTTTCACATCGCCTTAAGGGAATGTGAAAGTGGCATCCGAAAGCTCAATCCTTCATGAAACTTTACTCCGAACTGGGTGTATCGAATCCCTTAAAGCTTTACATCCTGAATATGGAGAGCCTAAGGTAGATCCTAAAACTCATGAAATTTAATTTTTTATACAAAATTTTCGAAACGTCTATAAACAAATTTTGGAAGAATTAAAATTTGATGGGTGTCAGGACCTTTCTTTATGGGTTCCATATGCACATTGTCAAGCTTGAAACAATTCGGTACACTTAGTTCAGAGAAAAGTTTCATAAACGAGACCTTTTCGCATCACCTTAAGGACTTTATAGTTGTATATGTACAGTACGGATGTAGTAATGCATAGTTTAAGGGTTTCCTACGTCTGAAATCCTAACGGACTTATTAAAGTGAAGTGAAACCCCCCGCAAATATTTCGTGGGTGTCAGGACCTTCTTTATAAGTTCCATATTCACATTGTCAAATTTGAAACAATTCGGTACAGTTAGTTAGGAGAAAAGTTTCATAAACGAGACCTCTTCTCGTCACTTTCGCATCACCTTAAGGACTTTATAATTGTATATGTACAGAACGGATGTAATAATGCATAGTTTAAGGTTTTCCAACGTCTGAAGTCCTAACGGACGTATTAAGGTGAAGTGAAACCCCCGCAAATATTTCGTGGGTGTCAGGACCTTCTTTATAGGTTCCATATTCACATTCTCAAGGTTGAAACAATTCGGTACAATTAATTAGGAGAAAAGTTTCATATACGAGACCTCTTCTCGTCATTTTCACATCACCTTAAGAACTTTATAGTTGTATATGTACAGTACGGATGTAGTAATGCATAGTTCAAGATTTTCCGACGTCTTAAGTCCTGACGGTCTTATTAAGGTGAAGTGAAACTCCCCGCAAATCATTCGATTCGAATAAGACACTTTTTTAAAGAGTATTGGATAGAACCGTCTGAAACATTAACACATTACTCGTGGGTACCTAGGAATTATCCTGACCTTTTCAAAAATTTGGATTTTTGAAACAAATTTTTTAACAGCCCAGACCAGATTCAAAATGGCGTCTAACTCTCATATTTCGATCGATATACAATTATTGAAGGCCCTAATATAAGAAACGAATGTGTCAGGGCAATTGTACGACAATTTGGAACACTCTGGTAATCGAAAAACTCGCATTTGAGCAGGATAAAGGCAAAAAAAGGTGTCTTATGCGTTTCTATGCTAAGACAATGGGAATACGAGGTCTCGGAGTGAAAATTTAGTTAACATGGAAATCACAGATAGCGCAGGGGGTCCTTCTGCAGTTAACTAAGACCTCAAAAACCATGAATTCAGGGGATTTCTGGAGTTTTACTTCGATTTCTTTATAATTATTGTACGAAAACGACAGATGGAGTATGCCATTTCGTACAATACGCAATATAATTCGACCCAGCTGTCAAAATAAAAACCAACGTCCGCAACGCAGGTATTTAGAAAAACCATTTTTACCGACATCAAGTTCCTCGACGTGTTTCACTTCACCTCAATCCTACGAGATACACCATTAAGGGGAAAACGAGGGGTCTGGATAAAAGATCTAGTCGTTACACCGCGTTGTTTACAAAACGTGGATCGCCTCGGGATACAAAGCGCGCGCGCTTTGCGTCACGAACATGGCGGCCGACACCTCCTCGAAGCATGCACCTTACATAACGCGAAACGTGAACAACAAACGGGAACGAGGCGAGCCTAAACATATGTAGGAAATGTCAAGCGGAGCTGTCGTTTCCCGCGCATGCCTGACGCGTTCCAGACGTCACATAACGATATTTACCGCGTTAACGATAACAATAAAGGCGAAGACCTTCGGAAACGCCATGTCCCAAATTTCGGAACAAACATGTCCACAGTTTGGCCTTGAAAGGCACGGCCACACGCGTGCACGGGAGGTGGCCTCAACTTCCGAGAGCAGCGCCCAAGGCGGCGGCCCGGCGAGAGACCACGGCTTTCCCTCGCATCGGTGCGTCTCTCTCGCACTCACGCGACGGATATGCGCGAGAAGGATAGCCTGGTCTCCGAGGGCACGGAGTGGGGGTAACAGATGAGGCGGCCTCGCGGGCGCCCGCTTTCGGCAGCGCGTGTCCGCATTACTTGGACATGTCAAACGTGGCACTAATGGACAGAACGTTAATTCGACGTTCGGGAAAGGCGACCTTCTCGTTTCCGCTTACTCTATGGCTCGTTCGTGACGACTCCTCGCGAGAGTCGTGACGGACGTGGATGCAGGCTCGAGAAGATGGAGAGCGAGAGCACTCTTACCTTCTGGACCCGCAGCGGTGCTCCGTGGGCCGTAAGACTCCGAAATCCGGTCGGGAATTATCGGGTTAATTTTAATAATGCTCCGCGCGGCGAAAAAGAGAATTATCTCGGTTGCAAGACGAGCGCAAAGATGCGTGAGACCGAGTGCGTGCACCTCTCGCGACTGACTGCTTAATGAAACGACTCGCGCCCTCTCTAGTGGCGAGAGGAAGAACTTGATGGATAAGAGAGTTGCGCGAACACCACCAGAGGGTGCCAATCTATCATTGATTAGACAATCCTACCTGCCTTTGAAAGCAGAGATGATTGAAAGGAATGACACCTTTTTACCCTAACTGATTCAATGAATATTTTACACGAAAGCTTGCAAGTTATTCACGAAGAAACGCCTGCTTATTTTTCGGGACTGTTAAACTTCTTTAAGATTTAAGTACCTCCCTGTATCGTTTATGGTTCACGAATAAAGTCTACGTTTACCTTATTTCCCTTTTCCGCGCTAGATGTGTCGATTAAACTTGGGAAAACAAATTTGTATAATACATGTAACGTACAAAACCTACTGCAAAGAGAGTCAAGGAGGCTCTACGTCTCAGAAATTCTAACTTTATTCGTATCATAAGCATCCTTAACGAAGATTACCACGGACTCACGTTCCCCGGGAGTAGATACACTTTTACAACCATCGCGTTCTAAAAACGGCGACATCTTCGATCACAAAGTACCGTGGGTTACAAACGAAAGCGAGTTGCTCGTCTTCGTGCAAGCGTCGTTCGAACGAGAGAAATAAAACTTCTTTGCGTCTTCGCGCTTTCCATAATTCTCCAGGTAACGATATTTACAAGTGAAGGTGTATCTACCGAATGTCCGTTACGACCTTCGGAACGAGTCCCAAACTGTCCAGCATTCCTGATGGGCCTGGCTCTTCCATTGGATAAGCGGATATTCTCTTGCACTTTATCAAGTGCGTTGCTGAAACATCAAAAGTTAATGCAATAAGTTAGATTACTTATATTCATAATTGGAACATTTCTTAGAGAATCGTTCTTTTTCGTAGAATAGAAAGGTGCTTCTCTGTATTTCCATTCTATGTCTACATACAGTGAACTCTCGATTATCCGTAGTAATGATTGGAAATGGGTGCCAGGATAATTCAAAATCACGGATAATACAAATGTACTGAACAAGTTGAAAAAGAAAAAAAAAACAATAAGGTAGAAAGGTAAAGAAGTTTTATATTCTTTAAAAACAACGAACGAATTACCCATCGCTTCCTTATTATCGGGCACATAGCCACCCTATGTTAACCACGTGTTGGCGAATATTGTTCGCTTTGTGAATTCTCTTAATGGTTTTTTCTCTCGTTAAGGTAATACGAAAGGATCACTCTATATGTATATATATATAGCTTTTCACCAAACTGGGTGCACCCAATTATTTGAAATTTTAACACGCGATTATGGAGGCCCCAAGGAAGAACGCGATGTTCGTAAAATTTCATTTTTCGAGCACTTTACGAGCACTTCAGCATGTGATTATGAAGGCCCTAAGGAAGAACCTAGTGCTCATGAAATTTCATTTTCGATTAAAAAATTGTTTACTTATCCCAGACTGGAACACAGAATACATATTTCCTTTTTTTAATAATGAAATTTCATTAGCACCACGTACTTCCTTAGAGCCTCCATGATCTCGTGATGAAGTTTTAAATGATTTGGTGCATCCAGTTTGGAGGAAAGTTTTGTAAATATTTTTACGTTTTATATATATTGATTGGCCCTTTCGTATCACCTTAAGTTCGTTAACAGAGTACAATGTTCACTTCATCTGTACCGATCTCAAAGTAATCGCGATGCGCTTGTGCTTGTTCGTACTTGTCCACTACGTCCTGGATAACAATTGCCGACAGCCCAGTTACGGCGATCAGCAGGGTGTACAATTAATCCATAAACCGGATAATAGACGAATTTAGCGAAGTAAGTCGGCGAGAACATGGCCATGCGAGCGTTTTCTTGATTTCTCTGATGGGTGAGTCACCAGTAATTTATACATTTTCTTTATGGAACTTACCAAGTTGATTCCCATCGACAGTAATAAATCCACAAGGACATTGCATCCTGTTTTCAAGAGGAATATTTATCAACGGAGAGAGTATGACCAAGCCCGTCTTTGGTCGTTCCTTGTGTATCTGTTGCTGGTGTTCCTTGAACGCTCGCCAGCAACACGTTACATAGCGGCACTGTTGACATTTTTGCTCACCGCTGTGTTAATGAACATTATATAACTTAATATCGCCCAGGACGTTTCGTATTAGATAACCATATTAACTGAATTTATACTTACGGATAGTGATCTGGCTCGTCAATGTCCTCTTCGCATTCTTGACACTGGAGGCTGCTAATCGGAGCATTAATTTTAACTGGTCCGGTAGTCCACTTTTTGATAGAATCATCCGAGGATAACTTGGCTGGAGGACTGTCCACTTCAAAGTGTTTATTTTGATGGCGATGCCTCGGAACCATTATGGTGGTACTGCTTCCTGAGTACGGTACAACTTCTAACAAGTAAATAAAATCCATTCAGTATGACTTCTTGTCAGGCTGAATTGAAATACATTTCTCTGGTATTAAAAAAGAAGTTATAATTTCTTACTAGATCCTGACACTTGATCGTGTAGGTGTTTCTGATGGAGAACTAAAGCACTTTTTTGATTAAACCACAAGCAACATCTGCTGCATTTGTTTCCACGACCTTCCTCCCTTCGTACAATGTGCCGTTGCATGTGCAGAAGAAATGCGTGAATTGTTGGTGGATGTGGCGCTCCATCGACCATCAACTGCATTACCTGAGAGAACATTCAAAATGATATATAAAGTCGTTATAGAGTTTCGCTCACAAATCTCTACTCTTTTGAATGAAACTTATTTACTTTCAGACAGAATGGACACTGTAAGCCCTCGCCTTTTTCATGTGCATGATAGAAATGATCGATGACGTCTTTGTGGCTGGATGTGCGGTAACCGCAAGCCTCGCACAAATATGGCATTTCGGAAGGATTATGAGTTGTCGATAAATGATTAGCCAGTAGAGAGCTGCTTCCTGCGGTTTTTTCAAGTAGTACATTGTAAAACTCATAAATTATCAAAGTACGAAAACTTATTACCATCGTAGTAAACGAGCATATCGATTAAATCTCTACTTAGGATAAACATATTTGAGAGTTAAATAATTAATTGGAGATATAAAAGTCAACTCGTAGAGTATTCCCTTACCAAACTTTTGCTCGCAAATGGCACACACGACCATATCGCCATTGCTCTGGCCAAATGTACTGTGAGTCTCTGCAACATGAGTACTGATTTGGTGTTTCGATGAGAAAGCTGTGCAGCAATAGCGGCACACTGGTGATTCCAATTGGCCTGGTACTTGAGGTGGCACGTGAACGATCATATGTTCCATCACATCAGTATTGGACCGCATCGCAAAGGAACACAAAAAACACTGAAACCGGAGATCACAGAAATCGTCAACGCCCATTGAACTAAGATCACTAAGTCTTTCAAAGAGGATCCCTTCCACCGACCTTGACAAACAAAGAACTCTTATGTTCCTTCAGAAGTGTATTCTTATCCCCTTCCATGGAAGCATAGTAATGTTCTTGTAGATGCACCTGTTCACCTTTGTTGTCTCTATCTTTTATTTTTGAATCCGGTGTTGCCCTCTTCACCTGTTCCCTTTCCTCCGGCGTTGGAAGAGGGTGAATTCTTTTTCTACCCCTTCTACCAGGTCCAGGTCTTACGGGAGGTGGATCGACTGGCTTGATGAGTGGCGGAGCTGGTTCGATATTGGATTGCACTGGCAGTGGTTCTTTCGGTAAACTCATGGGTGCAAGAGGAGGTGGATTCGACATTGAGTACGACCAATCCTGAAATGGATTTGCTGCAATTTTTTGCAGACGATCCAGCAGGCAATCGTCTACAACAAAGCGTGAAAAGTATTTTCAATTAACTGATGAGAAAACAAATGCGAGAAACTATGTTTACGAAGCTGTTCATCAAATATAAGAGTTTTACTGACTGGTGTCTAATCTAGTTTGTTCCGCAATGTGTGTGATGATATTGTCAAAAGCTCGCCATGCCGTTGAACCAAAGAGTTCTCTCCACACCAACTCGTCCAGAAATTGTTGTATCATCTCTCTGCTAAGTAAACTAAGAGTATTTTGAAACATTCTGGGCACGATTTTCCTCAAATACTCCATAATATGATAATTACTAGGCGAGTTCCTAGTAGTCTGTTCAGAGAAGGCTGTTTGCGTTATATTAGTAAATCCCATTTCTTGCAAGGTGCTCTTATCGACTGTAAAGTCTGTCAGAATTTTAGAATCCTTATGCACCCAATCCTTCAAGGGATGTAAGATATTATTGAATCGTCTCTTGAATGATCGGTCTCCATCATGAACTGGTTCGCAAGCTCGCAATCGTAATTCCAGAGTTTCTGGATCTAAAATACCGAGCACCTCCACCTTCACCTAATTATTACAACAAAGTCACCTTATTGACATTTCAAAGATATTAGTACTTCCACCTTCCCTAATATCTTCAGATCGATATCAAAAATTTCAACTTAAAATAATCCATTCATCTTTAAAGCAAATGTAAAAAATGTAAAACTACCTGGCGAAGATTTCCATCTTGTGATGTCGTACCAAGACTAATTACACCAACTTGTATCATTGAATTCTTCCCACCCATCATTTTACACTTATCCCATACCGCAGCAGTGCAGACACTTCGTAGATTAGTGTAAAAATTTTTCACATAAAAATTGGGTACCTTTACCCATGACACCACATTTTGTACGTTGGTTTGACAAGCCCAGTGATAGATAAGTTTTAACAGTACGGTAGGTGTATGAGTGGCTCCTTGAAATAATGAACCTGAGAAAACTGAAACAAAACGGTCTGGACAGCAACTAGAAATCCATACGTATCCACCGGAATATGGGAATGTCCCTGTGTCGCTGTACATTCCTAGTTTTAATTTGATTTTCTGATATCCCTTGCTGTGCGTAGTGCAATACTGTTCAGAGCGTACTAAACCTTGCTGAATCAGCCATTCGGCAAACTTTGTTGCAGAAAACATTAATACGCTTTTCACTTTCATATCTAAAATCAAATAAAATCATCGAAACAAATTCGCTTAGACGTTCCCTAAGTCTTGAATACAGAAGATATGTTCACACAATTCATGAAAATGGAAAATAATGAATACAATACCTAAGTCTGCTCTATCCTTTTGAGCCGTCTGCGGTGCTACATCTTTTATTCGAAGATTAGGCCTTGCTACTACAACCAATGATGGATACGTCCGACCTCCATTCATCTTATTAAAAGTGATCTCTCTGCCATCAGGCTGGTTCTTCTTCGTCTCATCTATCTGTTCTCCAGCTAAGGTAAAAATAAAAGATTTTCAAACTATAAGACATTTAACATTTTAAATGTCTTTTAATAAATTTGAAAATGTAAATATAACTCTTGTGACCTGCAGTGTTATTTCCCACTGAAATTCCACCAATACTTGTGTGCTCTGTTGGCCTAGGTACAGTCGCTGGTACCTGTTGTTTATTCACAGTCTTTATTCTAAGATTTGTCACCCCTTGAGGACTAGTTGTGGCTGTAAATCATTTGATTCGTATTGCAACTATATGGCTATTGCGATATAATTAAAAAGAAATTTAATTCTTTTACTTGGAGTGACAACGTGTGTGGCATTTACAGATTTTGGTCTGCCTCGTGGAAGGGGCTGTTGCTGAGTAGGTGTTGGCGGTGGCTGTTAATAATAAACTTTTAAAATGAAAAGCATTAAAAATACATTAAGAAAGATATTAAATCACTGTACTAACTTCTTCAATTATGTCAGGTTGTTGCACCTGTAGAACTTTTGTTCTTCTCCCCGATCGGGTATATTTATACTGGAAAGGAATTAAAATCAATTTAGTGCTGAATAAATTATTAGATAACAGTGTAAAAAAGAAATAAAGAAATAAGTCTATAAAAATACGTACATTTTCTTGCTGAGATGGTGCTACCGTTGTCACTGCAGTGGTTGTTACAGGAGGTGCTGTAACGGTATGAATATACAATTAAATTAAATTTCTCTAATTGTTACGATTCCTTGACAATCATATAGAAATTGTGTCACAATAAAATCTGCATTTACTATCAAAATTAAATAATGTACCAGCAAAATATCATTATTTATGTACCAGTAGACTGTTGAGCTTGAGCTACAGTTCCTAAAATGACACCCATCCTAGGATCCATAACAAGTTGAATATTTCCTTGACTGGCATTAGTATTATTCAGCATGTTAAGCTTTATCGGTTGGGCCTTTCCCTGATTCTAGAAATGTGCATAGAATTACCAATTAAAATGTTAGCTTATTCAAGTACTAATTAATCATAGTGGCAAAACTTTTAATTGACCTTTAATTTGTTGGTTGTGCTCACCATAGGCTGAGAGCTGGATTTAGCACCCATAGGTGCTGGTTGTGCAGTTCCAGGTCTGATGAAGAAGAAAAAAGGGAATTTAAATTCATAAATATATTCAATTGTACAATGAAGAATAATGTTAATAATTTAAGACAACCCAATTACTAATTTCCATGATCTTTGTAATAAAATAGCAGGGCGTACAAAACTTTTCAGTTTCAACAAGATCTCTCTAATACTCACAATGTGTACTGGTAACCATTGACAGTTCCGACTTGACAAATTAATTTACCACCATGATCCTTTACTAATTCCTCTAAAATTGCACTAACCTGGAACATGTTTTATTGTTTGAACAAGAATAGTATACAAAATAACTAACCAGACAACTATGAGTACATTAAAATAAAATATAATTGAAGAAAGAATCGTTACTAAAATTTATATTTCTTTTTATGCAAGAAACTAACATTTCAATCCTTTAAACTAAATTCGATACCCTACAAGCATACAAAAATTGCAAACATCCATTTAATCATCAAACATCAACATACTCTGTCAAAGTTTTCCTTGTACTTAATCCTGGACATAAGTTGAGCTTCGCTCAGAGCTTCTTCGGTGCACTCCAAGTTAAGCGTCATGTTTATAGGACGTGTGTTGGTAACAGAACGGGTTATAAGTCGTCCTTTCGGCATGTCGACAACTTCTGCAATAAATGTAATGACCAAATGATAGTATCGAAGGTGAACTTACAATTAAACATCTCCTATATCACATAGAAAGCCCATGTTTCTGAGTCAAGGTACGAAAAAAAAAATTGTATGATAAAGGAGACAATTAAGTTTATTCATAATGTGAATCTAAAATTCCGAGATATGGAATAATACATTCACAAGGATATCCTTTAAGGTCCCCACTATACCAGTTGCTTCAAACCTACTACCCGCGTCAAAAGGAAACGGCAACGCTGCAGCGTCCGCGTTATTGTAAATAGAGACCTTCGTTCGATTTTTAGGTTAGGAAAGGGCAGTACCGACATCGGACAGTACTTTACCTCGGCGGACCTCTTCGAAGGCCACGGGAATTTAATGCGGCCCCAATGAAGCCACACCAACGGAGGGAAAGCGAAAGTCTTTTAGACCTGACTGGAATCGAGAATCAGACAGTATTTGGAATTCTTCTGACCCTGCACCGTTTGCCACGGCGTTACAAGATGGCGGCACCGGTATCCCGCTATGTTATTACCGATTTGTCAAAGAATTCAGAAGTTCCATAGAAGCCCAAATCCCATGTTAGCACGTGATGGTGTATAAGGCCCGGTTCCACAACTCGAGTTAACCGAAGTTTAACTGGTTTATGCTCCAGTTCAGTCTGCTGTAAACCAATTAAACTCCGGTTAACTCAGGTTGTGGAACCGGGTCTAAAAATTGGCTAACAAACCAGGAGTGAAGAGTAAGAGAGAAATCGCATGTTCAGTGTTTTTAAATTCTCAAGAATTTAAGATCGAGTAACATAACCGAGAATATTACGGTCTGTATCTATTGTCTAACCTCCTCCGGATACCCCCACCCTTACCTACGTCCCCTCCATTTCGATAAGCTTTAAGAGTATCGGGAAACTCGGTAGAGTTTCGCGCCAAATACATTAAAATGTGCGAACGGCACCGAATACTTAACATCAAATTTTACATACGGGAGGAAGAGAAATGCGTATAGAAAGGTGGGTATTGTATTTAAAATGAAGAAAGATTGCAATCAACTACATATCGTTGTCAATGAACGTCTTCAATGATTGTCTCTCTGCTTTAACAAGTGTGGAAGGAATGACAAAGCGGAATTCCAAATTCTCCAATATAGAAAAAGAGAATTTAATTAATTTAATGGCGACTTATAAACATATTATTGAAAATAAAAGAATAGATGCTGTCAGAGCAAAAGATGACGTACGTTGGAAAACTTTAACCGATGAGTTTACTATCGGTAACAATCTTTGGACAGAGACATTGAAAATATGCTGAAATAATCTAAAGAAAATACGGAAACATTTTTCTAATATGTGGAGAGACTCTAAAGACGGGGCACACTCAAAAGCATCGGTAGAGAGAGAAATTTTTAACTTTCAAATGGAGAAGGAACGTGCTGAACTTGAACTAGTACAAATTAAATTATTAATTCACAAAGAAATGTTGAAAGAAAATTTCTACACTCCATTTTGTAGTAAATCAGTTTTTATATTTACAAAGTGCCATCATTTTTATAAACAATGTTTATACCTAAGTAAATGTGCATGTATTGCATACATTCTAACGAATTAATAAATACTTTTTATAACCTGCCCTTTTTGATGTTGGGAAGAGTGGATGATGAAGGTATATAATGATAGAACAATTATCTGATAATATACGAAGCCAAAGAGTATAAATGACTTACTGTTAGTTATAATGACAAAAGCTTCTGTGTCGGATAACTTATATATTTCTTACATTGCAAACATTTCCCTTAGAATGAAAAAAAGTGCTTGTGAATCTTAACACAGCAATAATACATTATGAAGACAAAATTTGCAATGCAAGAAAATATATATCATTAAGCACAGAGATGTTTATCTTTGCAAAAAAAAAATCACTTATATCCCTTGACAGCTAAGTTCTCATATGCCAGTATACGTCATGAAGATGCGACGGTTTAAAATAGACCGTTGTCTATTTGCCATTTTTCCAGTGTATTACTTCATGTATGTGCATACACTTAATTCCCTTCAATACTCGGAGCAATAAGAACATAACCTCAAAAGGAGGCAAAGAGGCGCGCACGATAGCTTGATGACGTCACGGGTATACATAACCGAGGTTTAACCCTTTAAACGCTCAAATTTGGCCGTTCAGATTTGACCGACGATTGCTTGCTTGAACGTGGTTTAAGGAGTTGTGGAACTTTCATTAAACCTGGTTTAAACTTAAACTTCGGTTAACTTGAGTTGTGGAACCGGGCCTAAAATAGACCGTTGTTTATTTGCTATTTTTCCACTGTATCACTTCAAGTATGTACATATGTACGTACACACAATTTCTTTCAATGCTCGGAGTAATAAGATAATCTCAAATAGAGGGAAAAGGCGCGTACAGCTAACTCGATAACGCCACAAGTACACAATACCGAGGCTTAACCTCTTAACCTCAGGGAGTCGATTCTGTATCCGCGATGAAAGTGTTCACTTCTCGTACTGTCATCTCACGTAAATTTAATTACCCGATTCTGTATTCTTCGAGGGGAAATGTCAAATCCCTAGACTGAAAGTGAAAAGGTTATGAGCGTGAGTGAATGTACCATACATGTGATTGACCATTGCACTTGAAAGGGTCTGAGTTATTACCATCATACCACACATGAAATTAAGAAAAGTTGTAAGTTCCATATACTACTTAGGTTTGGTTCTACAACTCTAATTAACCAGAGTTTAATTGGTTTACAGCAGATTTAAAGCGGGTGTAAACCAGTTAAAGTTTGGTTAACGCGAGTTGTGGAACCGAACCTTAAGGTGATATAACGTGGCGTCAAAAAGGTTTCATTGGTGACACTTTTCTCCGAGGCGGCTGTACTGAATCGCTTAAAACTTTGTAACGTGAATATGGAGGCTATAAGAAAGGTTCTGATGACCATTCAAATTCAATTTTTAAACAATTTGTTTACAGACATTTTTAAACTGTTGTATAAAAAATTAAATAGTTGACAATGACAATGACAAAAATTGAATAGATGACAATTTTATGGTTGTCAAAACTTTTCTTATAGCCCCCATATTCACGTTACAAAGTTGTAAACGATTCGATACACCTAGTTCAGTGAAAAGATTCATAAACGATTGACTTCTCAGAGATCACTTTCATATCTCCTTAATGTTGCAAACTGAACCCTTAACAATCGTAAGTCACCTTTCATGTAACACAATACTTTGTCGCTGTGGTCGTATGGCACGAGTGAGGTGATAAGATGGACTACAACCTAGCAACTACAGCCTAGGGAGAATCATGTATAAAAAGCTAGCGTCCAATAAGGATTAACTGGGCTATTTTATTGCTCTTCTTTATATGACTTCCAGCCACACAGGAAAATAGTATCCCTTCCCAATATATTTTACAGAAAAATCTTAATGCATTGACACATACAGGAAAAAAGATTGCAAATAAATGAATACGCTTCAGCTTTATACAGACAGGACATATAAACATTAAAAATAAAACAGATAGCAACCATAACAAGACAAGGAATGTGATGTAGAAATGATAAACTATGTAGTTCATAAAATCTTATAATCCTTTATCACAATTCGAAAGATGGAATACATATATATTCCATTTACTATTGTATTTATAAAACAAACATAAATATAATTTAATTAATAAATACAATTCCCAATGGTCTAAGGAAACTATGAATATGAAACTTCAGACATAAATTAAGCAGTGATTAGAATTATTTGTACTATAGATTTGTCTTCTGTCTACTATTAATGAAACAAGACGATTTTTTCGGTACTATCTTCACTGATTTAATTATTAATAATAATTTATCATAATTAATTGAAATTAAATATATACAATTTTGTCCCGATTGAAATTATGGCATTATTGAATATTTTGTAAAAAAAGGATACATGACAATATCCTTAAAATATGCAGTTAAATTCTTTTCAATATTTAAATCACAAAAGAGAACTTAGCATAATGTACACATTTATCGATCCATATTCACAGTTAAGACAGTCCCTTAAATTATGTAAAAAAATATCTGTAAAATTCTTACCACATATTAAAGGTTTCCTAACTTTTCTACATTCTATTTCTAACTGCAATGTGCTTGATGGTTGCATTGTTGATGACTCTTCTATTTCCATATTTTCCAAACTGTGGTCACTATCATCAATATCCAGTTTCCGCTTTTTGGTTTTAAAAGCTGAAATTGACACACTATCATCACCTTGTTCTTTCATATTACATAGTTTTAATATGAAGTAAAATTTGATAAAGCGTGTCATTTCAAATTAGCTCATAAAGATGATAAAATAAATAAATGAATACATACTGAGATTGAACTTCGAAGGCATTTACTTTTGCAACTTTTCAGCTTGTACTATTACTTACTATTTGATCCTATGAGTGTTGGAATAGCATGGCGATACAACAGAGGCCTCGGGTATCGCTTTTTAATACACGAGTCATCAAAATGCTCAATGCAAATTCTAAAGCCTGGAGCAGCATTTTTCTTGACCCCAGCAAACCGTAACCATTGTTTTTGACTGAAACCAGAATACTTTATAACAATATCTTCCAAATGTCCTTTAATTAATATATCACATTTAATAAACTCAAAGTTTATTAAACTGATTTCTTTTAATTTGTGAAAAAGTCCTCCTTACGATTTTAAATCGACTCATCTGTCTATACTTCTTAACCTTTAGCTGAGTAATGGAATTGAAAGACAAAGATTACATGTACGTGGAATCCATGAAATCCCACATCGGTTAAAGGCTAACAGAACATTCAATCTATATTATACTTCAAACTTCTATTGGTCGAAATTATTCTAAGCGAAAACAAAACAGCTTCAATATAGTTTTATAAAATATTAACCTGAAAATGATAATATACCTACATTTCTGGATTTTTGGGAAGATGAAAAAACGAAATACCAGAATTGTGCCGCCAACTATTCTTGCACGTTTCCATACTGCAATATGCTGGCATTGTTGATGGATATATATTGCCACAATTAATTATAGTTTTGATCACTAATCACTAAACAATTCACCTGAATTCACCGGACGCACGCCAAATCACAACGGAAACTAGACTAACCTTTCACGACACAATCAGTCGACAATTTGGTTTCTATAACTTTGCAGTGAACCGACGGGCGGCGCTGTTATCGGTATTCTCTCGGCTTCCAGTTAAAGAAAATCACAGAGTCAGTCCCAATTTATGATCTTAGGGGGTCTATCACGTAAAGCAAATTGAGCGAAAATGTGAAAAATGAGTAGCTGAGGGTATTACGGAACGTTTTTCATGGTGAAAATACGAGACCATTCATGTGAACTGGCTCGTCAAGTGAAGCTCGTATTCGCGAGCTGACAGCCTGGCTGGGTTAGTCGTCCGTGACGGTGAAAGCTGCTGGATTGTTTGCGTTAGAAGTAGTATGCCACTCCGGCAAATTATATCCGAAATTCGATGCCAACTGGCAATGTACTCTGCGACTTCCCATTTACTATGCGGCGAATGTTGTGTGGACGGATGAGTATGGTATGCGAGTGGTGTGGTGTATGGACGGATGAGTATGGTATGCGAGTGGTGTGTTGTATAGACGGATGCGTATTGTATGCGAGTGGTGTGCTGTGTGGGTTATGAAATCCTGGTTCTGTTGAGTTCCTGGGTCACTGGGAAGTCAAAGGAACCTGGTGCCTCTGCTTAGGCGGGTCCCAATCGCAGCGGCCTCCTCGTGACGGGACCTGGGGGATCGGTACCATCCTTATGGGATGACACAGATCCGCGAAGTAGCTGTGAAGTAGAATTTAATTAAGATAAAATGTCACCTTCCTGTAAAATAAATAAGGTAGGTGAAGGGTTAAGTCAAAGCGGGCGCCAGGAGTGTTCTTCCCTTACCATCAAAAGCGAGCAGTGTCGGTAAGCGTAGGTAAGTCACCACCGTCAATAGCCGAATGGTATTACCATGACGAGTACGTCAGCTGCCAACGGCTACTGGTAGATGGCACCGCCATCCGTAGTGCGTGAACCCTAGAGTTCGAAAATTCTCGGTAACATTAAATTGGAGGAGGTAACTGTGAAACATACCGTAAGTTACCGGGAACATTGAGAATTTAAGAGAACGTTAATTTTGTTATTTATACTTTAGGTTTCTTCGTTTAAATAACTTTTTTTTTTTCAATCAACTTCAAAGTTCAAGCTAAAGAGTAATAATTACTATTAGAAAATATTGATTATAGGGTCGTATTTACCTCCAGCTAAAAATATTCACGTACGTACAACTTCACGGAAAATTCCATGCGATTTGTTTCAAACGAACTGATATTTCATTCTGCGACGAAGCGAATGGGAGGTTTTGATTGGCTACGGAGAACGTACAACGGAAATTCCCCTCTACGATGTTTCTCTATAACTAATCGAAACCTCTCGTTCGCTCTGTTGAAAAATTCAAATTCTCATAATTTCTCGATAAAAAAGGCTTTGGAGAAATTACCGATAAGTTACTGGGAATTTCTCTTCGTTTCTGACGTAACTTACTGGATTTAGAACTCTAGTGAGCCCCTACCAGAAATTCGTTGCGCCGCCCTTGGGGGCAAAAAACGGTTAAAGCTGACGTACGAAACCGGAGGGCAGCACAGGATGCTATCGCCCTGCCCGTGAACAATCTCCCAACTTATCTCTGCCCTCGAGTGTAGAATGTGCAGTCAACGCGAACAAACCTACTGTTATGCGATTTCTAGATATTTTTAGTCTAAATTTGAATCGCGACGGTGGCAACACTGTTGGCAGAAGGCGGGATGGTGTTATACCGGTTTACTGGTTCAACGGTCCATTTTGCCGAGGAACACGCGGTGTTTCACGTTCAGAGATCTTTTCGCCATTACCGCACTAGAATTTCTAGTTAATGTGTATAACAGAATCCAGTCACAAGGCCTCGCTTTATTAAAAGCATTGTCGAAGAATACGAAACTAGAAGTAGTTCGTTTTTGTACATTTAAGTACCTGTCTGCAAGGAAATCTTGAATGCTTAATTTTTTTCGTTTTGTTACAACCGCTCCGTATTTTCAATCCGCGTAATTGTACGACTCATTTGATTGTTTGAAATTTTTCGAACTCTAGTATACGTCGCAAGTAATTAGTGTTTAACCGTGATAATTAAGGAAGGACGAACAGTCCCTTAAGTATAGAATTTCAAGTGATTAATGTATAATACGTTTAATTTATCTGAAGACTCTTCCTTGTATTGTTCACAGACAGGCAACGATCGTGACTACAGCTTCTATAATGGATTCGCCACTGCGTCGAAGCACAAGACTTAAACAGTCTGCCGATGGATCTCCCGAGTCAGTAAACGAACTCAGTAATTCGCAAGGAGTTAGGCTAACTCGATGTCGTGCAGCTACCATGGAAGGCAAGAGTTTGGACATGGCCCGAGTCTTACGATCGACGAAAACTTCAACTTCATCTGATATAAGCGAAACTCCTGAGTTTGAAAATAGCCAAGAGACGAGTAAACGTGTTACGAGAAAAAATACCTCGTCGATCCCTTCGACGCCCAAAGCAACCAGAAAACCGTAATGCTATACTTTATTACTTAAACTAATAATGCAATGTAGCGTTTTCAATCCTGGGATTTTAGATAAGCATGGAAAATGAGACAAAAGTAAAAATTTTTATATTCTACATTACTTTCAAATTGTTTTAACAGACGTGGGTCAAGGGCTGGTTCCGAGACAAAGTCGACACCGCCGGTTGCTCGAATCACACGAAAAACACGAGCTATTTCCATGGACTTAGAGTCCACAAATCCATCCAATTCAGAGCCGCTACAATCTACAATGGTACCAGATGCAGGCATCAGAATTCGGAGACAGGCATCCATTTTACCATCGGAACCAGCAGTGACCGAGGAAGTCGAGACCAATGCTACTTTTTCTAAAAGACTTGACAGATCTGTGATTGAAATTGATGAATTAGGTAAGTATCATGTACTTAACGAACAAGTATTGCACTGTTGTTCATATATTAATTTCTTTTATTCATGTGTAAGTAGGAGATCTGGATCATTCTTCAAATGTCTCTTCGTCCAAGGATACTACTAAATCTTTGGAAAATATGTCGATCAATGAAGAAAGAAATAGAAGCGAAGAAAAAATGGAAGTTGATAATTTTCGTAAGTTAACTTATAGTCTATAACATAACCTATACCAAAAATTATAGAGTAGCCGAGATAACTGAATAACACATAAAAGCTGCAAGTTCTTTGTCTTCATTGTTTATCATGATGAAAAATTTGGCAAATTATATATTTTATATCAAAATCGAATTATTTGAAACGAGTTATGTAAATTCTTAACCCCTTGCGGATGAGACTTTTCCATTATGAAGGCTTTTGGGCTGCTATCTGCAGACACTCGTCCGCAAAAGATTAATTTTTCTTGCGACAGAGGAAATTGCTTTAATTAAACAACTTGGCAGAGAACAAAGCATTACATGGTGGGAATTATATGAATAACAAAGTAGAAGAAATTTGAAAAATCTGTTTCAAATGGTTAGAGTAGAATATTAATAACTCGATTTTGTATATATGTAAATTTATAAATGTCGTATTTATCACAGCTGAAGTATCAAGTACACCTCCACAGCAGTCACCTTTGGGATCGTGCAAAGTTAATTCAAGTGAAAGATTAATAGACAAATTAGAAACACCAGAATCTTTAAGCCTGTCCAAGAATTTCAGAACGGAAAGTCATGAAATGAATGTGGAAAATTCTAATGAGGTATCATTTGATAAGTCAATAAAACGAACTCTTGTAAAAGCATCGATAGAATTGGGATTGCAGATCGAAGGCTTATTAAACAGCTCCGCAGAGAAGCAATTACAAAATGATAGTAACAAAGAAAATGAAAAATATGACGTGTCACCAGTGGTGACAGCCACTATTCAGGAAGTACCAACAACTGTTATGACGTCAAATAATCGCAAATCATTAAGTCCAGTACTTGTAGAGAAAGCAGAACAAATAAAACAAGTGTTGTCGAGCGATCAAATGCCATCAAAGGTCTCACCGATAAAGGAATCTTTGACAATGACGTCACTTTCTGCAAACACTGAAGGATTAAATGATTTAGAAGACACCAGCCCGGTAAGTGATTCAAAAGCAGATGATTCAATCATTGTCATTGAAGACACTGAGATTACAGAAATAGATAAAGTGGAAAAGCAAAATGATATCAATCGTGCATCTGATAATCTAATAACAAAGGAGATTGTTATTAGGCTGAACAGAACAAAAGTTCACAGAAAAGCTAGCAGCGAGGAGATGTCAATTTTTGACCGTGACAAGTCAAAAGCCTCCAAAGACGCTATCATGTCTGATGACAGTAAAGATTCGAATCCTGAAATACTTGAAGTTAGTCACAATCTTGAAAATGTCACTTCATTCACTGATAAACTGTTACAAAGTGAAAAAAGTAATGAACATGAGAATCGCACATCTAGATTGATGACTGAAAACAATGATTCTCCATCAAAATGGATGTCTCCGGTGGTTGAGAACAAACCGCATACAAACATTGATAGAAATAGCATTAACAAGGAGGATGTTATTTCAAGCAAGGAGAGTTTAGAGAAAGATATTTCACGGTCCGCTGATACGACTTTATTCGTTGAAGTGACGGCAAGCAGCATGAACATACCAGTGGAAAATAATTTCGACGAAGGTGATTCTCTAATGCCCTCGATAGAAAGTTCTTTCGCCGACTTAAAAAAGTCGGCAACGGTTACATCGCTCACGACTGATGATTTACAAACAATTGAAGGTGAAGATAAATTGGGAGTTAAAGCTAAACATGGGATGTCTTCGACTGTTGCAGAATCTACGAGTGGTCAGTCCAAGGAAGTTTCAGTTAGTGAGGACCAGTCTAAAAAGGTTGCAACATCGGTGAACACCGAAGTCCAGCATAGGGGTGCTGTCCAAAAGCCAAAGTCAGAAAAGAATCAAACTCGATCCCAGAAACGGCACGATGAAGATGACAGCGATTCAGACATGAATCTAGAAAATCTGTTTCACGACATTCCCGCCAATGAGTGGAACAGAAAGTTCACAGGAAGCTCACCGACTGTGGAAAATGAAAGCGAAGCAGAATGCGATCTGGTACTGGAGGATAAAGAAGAAACTGCAGCTGAAGAAGTGACCAAAAATGGCTCCAACTCTGGTAACACTTTAAGTTTCAAGAAATCAGAAGTGAAGGCCAAGAAAGGAAATGAGACAAAGACAGGAGACGAGGAAGAGAATAAAGAAATGGATGTTGAATCAGATGTTGAGAATAAAGTATGTGAAGAGACTGCAGTTAGAAAATCGTTACAAAGCAATCAGCAACTTCTAGGTCTTGTGGTTGATAAAAATGTGAAGAAAAGTGACAGTTTCAGAAAATCGGTTGATAACAGTGAAAACGATGTTTCGAGTACTGCATATTGTAAGTCTACAGGCAAATCAGAATCTACCACCAATGTGCAAAAAGATGTTCATTCTTCAGTAGATGAAAGTTCCAAATCCAGCCTGGAGACATCGACATCGTCAAAGAGCCGGTCACAGAAAAAAAGAAAATCCACCGAAAATTCATCAGAGAAGAATATAAACGTGAGCAACGATTTAAACAACTTAAACACTTCTAAGGCGAGTAACAAGTCGAAGATTTTGGAATCCGAAGAAGACAATGCTAATTTCGACGATGAAGAGGCTGTTGCAACGCAAACCAATGTATCATTTGAGAAATCAAACAAAAGTCGTAAATCAGCAGAAAACCAGCAAGTTTCGAGACAAAGTTTAAACAAATCTAATCAGGAACACGGAAGTTCCTTTATTGCAGTCACGAAGAGTAACAATTCCTTCAACGAGACGAATTCCAGCAATTCTTCGGAGAAGATTCCGACCTCTCCTATTTCGGGAAATAAGAAGTCGTCGAAAAAGAGAGAAGAATCGGTGAAGGAGAAAGCGCGTTTCTCTGTGACGAGCACCCAGGGTGAAATGGAACCAGAACATATGGACACCGACGAAGATGAAGAGGAAGAGGAGCCCTGGAAGAACAGTTCCAACAACATTGATATACGTAGATCTGAAAGTGGAGCCAGTGGCAAACGTTCAAAGCGCGCGTCCCTGGTTGTTGAAGAGGACGAGTCGCTCTTTGTTTCAGGCAAACAGATAAAAGCAGTGTCGCAAAAGTATGGAGAATACAACACGGTAAATGAGAACTACTCTATCGCAGCACAAGTGGACTCGGAGAGCTCGAATGACAGTTTAGAGGACAGTAAGGAACAGTGGGTCCCTCAGTTTCTTTTTGGCTCATCTAATGGAGAAGAAGACGGGTCATCCAACGGCAGTATTGATTCAGACATTGCTAGGGAGTACAATCTCGATGGGAAGTCTGACGTAGAGGATCCGGATGAAGATATACCTGGTGACGTCTGCAGAGAGTCAGAAGTAGAAAACTCTGACTCGGATGATAATGGTTCTGACTTGGAAGGATTTGTAGTGTATGATGAGGAAGAGGACGAAGAAGACGAAGACGAGAGTGCGGAAGAAGATACAAGTAGAGGGAAGGGTAAAAAGAAATTCTCGAGAATTGCAGTGCAGTTTTCAGACGAGGAAGAAGAAGAATCTGACAATGAAGTTAATCCAAAGGTGATCAAAACAAGTGTTGGTGACGAGAGTAATGTTTTGAAATTCACTGAGAAGCTACGTGATAATATCGAAACAGTAAAAACTCCAAAAAGAGGTAAAGTCCCACAAAACTTATCGGAGACTGATAAGTCTCGAGGTGTTTCGGATGAACAGAATGCAGACAAGAGTTTCAAGACTCCGAAAGTGAGCAGTACTCCTAAACTGAGTGGGAAGACCTTAAAAAATAAAATTGTTAGTAATATAAACTTGGGTATTAACAAAGGCGAGTCGTCAAACTGCAGTAAAAGTGATGAGGAGTCCCTCACACCTGCATTCATGAAAAAGAAGAATATGATTCTTAATCAAGTGCATACAATACCTTCCGTGAAAAGTGCAATGAGTTTCTGCGAAACGAGTGGCACAAAGCAAATAGATTCCGGTGTTCTACAGAAAAGTCTTCCGGCTCTGCCAACAGACTTGACCGATGTCACTGAAACCAATCTTTCGAGGCAAAAGTCATCCAAAGTATCTATGCTGAATAAAACAATGCTAACGCCTAGTAGTGAAACCACTGTAACGAAATTCCTGAAGAAACAGAGATTACACGATACTCTACCTTCTGTAGATTTACAAGAACAAGCAGAAGGCATTTTGGATGAGGCAAAAGAGATTGTCGAATCTAGTAAAGAAGCTCATCTAACTTCTAAAATGAGCACGTTGGACAAATCGCGAAAAGACCACATCCATACTCGAATTAAAGAAAAGAGTAACGAAGAAGATACAAAAATTCTTGTGGAACAAGAGGAAATGACGCCGACCGAGAATACGACCAAGTTAAAAAATAGTGAAGTAAACAAAAAGGCATCAAAGAAATTGAAAAACGAACAGAAAACTATTTTTGAAGCTGAAGAAGCCGTTGATAAACCTACCAAAGGCGAGAAGAAGAAAAAGAAGAAGAAGAAACTGAGTGATCAAGGTCAAGAAACAGAAAATCCCGAAAAATCGAAGACCAAGAACAATCTCAAAGCTCAAGATAAGTTGGAGGCAACCGACGAAGCAGAACATGTAACAGAGACGATGGTTACTAAAAAGCAAAAGAAAAAGAAAAGGCAGAGTGCACAGATGATTCCTACCGAGAACATTGAAAAAATGGATGATAAGCCCGCCAAGAAAGTGGCAGAAAAACGGAAGGAAACAGAAAATTTGGACGAAAACAGTACTCAGAGACCATCAAAGAAGAGGAAGAAAGTCGAATCCACAGAATTCGGAGCAACCTCGGAGGAAAAGCTAAATTCGAAGAAATTAGCGAAGGATATCGAGGTGGATTCGGGAACTAAACAAAAACTAAAGAAGAAGTCTAAAAAATCGCCTGCAGAACAAGTCGAACAAGAGGCGATAAAAATGGCCGATAAAGACACCAACAAGGAAAGCGCTGGCAGGGCTCGCAAGAAAATTAAGAGCGAGGGTTCCGATCTTCAAAATTCAGAAGATCAACCGACAACGAGTTCGAAGCTGACTTCGAAAAAGAAGAAAGTGCGCGCCGAAATAATAAATCCCGAAGATCAACCCGTAAAGATTTCGAAGCTGACATCGAAGAAGAGTACCGCAACGAGCGACTCCGATGAAGCTCCCGAAGCAGTAGATTTTTCTAAAGCACGTGCAGAAGCGTTAAGGGCGATGAAAAACGCCGTCGATAGTATAAAAGCCGGCAGAGAGACGAAAAGGAAGGAGAGACGAGAACAACTGGAGAGAATCCATCAGAAGAAGAGTGCAAAATTGGAAGCAGAGTCTGCAAAACTTGAATCCGAATCGCGGCCTCGAAATTCCGGCCTGAAGCGACTTCCTGACGAAGTAGTCGAGAATCTTTCGGACAGCTCGATGAAGAGGTCGAAGAGGAAACGAAGAAAACTGTCCAAAACCGACGAGATGGTACCACCCAAATCCCTGTTCGTCCCTGACAGAGCCTCGAATGCCGCGAATAATGCCGAGGACGGATTTATTCCTCTCAGCGCGGCTGGAAGTACGACGGAGTTTAGCGTTGTGAAACTGACAAAAATTAAAAAACGAACATCTTCGACAGCGGCGTCCTTCAGACAACAAAAACTCGCCCGGAATAATCGTCAACCATCGACTTCCTACACTACGTATCGCCAGAAATTGAAAGCGTCTGGGAAGGATAAACTCCCTCATTGAAATTTCTAGATCTGAGTTCTCGAATTTCGGTTTTCTAAATAGATTTCCTGTATTTAATGCGTATGCCTCAATCGATTTTACCTCTTACCGCTTACACGGCAGTCTGATTAAACGTCCGTTCACTATTGTGAACTGCAAGGTACGTTAAGGGCGCTCACTACTCCAGCGATTTTGCAGGGCCTCACGGGGACAACGATTTTGAGCGTATTTCTAAACCAATCGAGCTCAACGAGTGCTCATATTAACCCTTTGCGGTCGGCGCCGCCACAGTGGCGGCATTCGCAAGTAGTAGAAGTCGGTGCCGCCGCAGTGGCTGCATTCGCAAATCGTCGTAGAAGTCGGTTCCGCCACAGTGGCTGCATTCGCAAGTCGTCGTACAAGTCGATGCGGTTGCAGTGGCAGCATTTGCAAGTCGTTGTACAAGTCGGTGCTGCTGCAGTGGCGGCATTCGCAAATCGTCGTAGAAGTCGGTGCCGCCACAGTGGCTGCATTCGCAAGTCGTCGTAGAATTCGGTGCCGCCACAGTGGCTGCATTCGCAAGTTGTCGTAGAAGTCGGTGCCGCCACATTGGCGGCATTCGCAAGTCGTCATAGAAGTCGATGTCACCACAGTGGCGGTATTCGCAAGTCGTCGTAGAAGTCGGTGCCGCCGCAGTGGCGGCATTTGCAAGTTGTAAAAGTCGGCGCCGCCACAGTGGCGGCATGATTTTATTAATGATCACGAAACAACTTTCCGTAATTTATACATAGAAAGTTAAAAACCTGATTAGCTAAATTTGTTCCGACTAGCTGGTACTCCTATCAGAGAAATCCGCTGGTCGCAAAGGGTTAAAGATGAAATGTTGACTTGTGTTTATACGGGAGCGATTTTCAAGAAGTGGTTATTTTCGTATAAAAAAGTGCTACGACATAATTAGAATGCTCTTTTAACTAAGAAGAAGTCGGGTTATCGAAAATCGCTCCCATATGAACACACGTCAACGTTTCATCTTTAAAAGGAGCACTCGTTGAGCTCGATAGGTTGAGAAATACGCTCAAAATCGTTGTCCTCGTGGAGCACCTTTTTCGTAATTTTCGGATTCCTCGCGAGGAATTTAAGCTCTCCTTGACAACCGTTGTCAAATCTAGATTTTACAGTCACTGTAGCAGACTTGAGACTATGTTGTTCAAATAATTAAGAGAGAGATGCAAGACGTTTTATATATCGTGACATCAAAAGCTGGATGTTCGAGTTGATTATGGGGAATGTGAATGTTGCATCTGAAGAGTCAATCGTTCATGAAACTTTTCTCTTAACTGAATTTGCTGAGTCGTTTCAAACTTTACAACGTGAATGTACAGGCTGTAAGAAAGGTTTTGACACTCATAAAATTTCATTTTTATAAAAAATTTTTAAAATATGAAATTTCATGAGTTTCAGGACCTTCCTTATACTCTCCATATTTATATTGTAAAGCTTGAATCGATTCAATACTCCCAGTTTGGAGAAAAATTTCATAAACGAGAACTTTCATTACGCCATTTTCACATCACCTTAAATTCGCTATTCTTTTTATGCCATTGGCCGTGTTCCTTGACCTTGAAAGTTTAATTAGGAACTTCCGATTTTTACCAATTATAAACGTGTCTTAAACATTACCCGGTGTCAGGAAAATAATCGTGCCTAATCGCCTCTGGCCCAAATTATGCAAGTACTTGATAAAGGTTGATGTACAATGGCGGACATGAATGCCTACCCTGCAGATACGGCATCGCTTGTGCAGGATGGGAGGGCACTGATGTCTCCCAGTGGTTTTCAACAATGCCATCGCCTTGAAGAGCTTCACATATTAACCAACAGTCAACAATTATTCCTCGCGGTTCATAATTATTTACTATTAAAAGAATGGGAATATAAAGTGGTAAATTATGTAACGCTCAATTGTGACCCTTTCATTCTACTTTTCTACGTTTAATTTACAGATATGGTGGAACATGTATATAAACGTTCTGTTATATTATAAATAGATGTGTATATTATGAACAGTTGTAAACCATGACTCTCTGATTTTACCTTCCTACGTTTAACTTACAGACATGGTGGAACATGTATATAAACGCTCTGTTATATTATAAATAGATGTAATGCGTAATGCAAAAGTATAACTGCGCATATTAGTACTCTATGGATACTCCAAGATGACGATTAATTTGTGGATTGTTCTGCTGCATCATTCACAAATGTTTGAAGATTTATATTCAGAAGATTTTGTACGAGGCTTTATTTGCTAGAGTCAGAAGAACATCAAGAAATTATTCGCCCACTGTTCCTAGTTAATAACTATCTAACATAATTTTCGGTGGCGCACGTGAATAACGTGAATAATTCTACTCTGCACAGGAATAAATAGCAATGTTCATATTTTATTATCTTTGGCATGTAAGATTGTTCATGGAAATCTTATAACTCATTGCTTATCACTGAAACTACCGAAAGGATGATTTTATTCCGTTTATTTTAATCCTGCACGCTTCGGCATTGTAGACAATACTTTATCCTTCTCAATAATATACGGTCGATTGTTCAGCATGATTAAAATAGTCTATTGTTAATAGGCGCTAAGATACTAATTTGTCACGATATTGCTTGGTTTTATGGATTGGAGTTTGTTGAAACTTAAATGTACATAACGACGTCCCTTACACCGAGCTAACAATAGGCAATTATATTCAGCGGATCGTCCGAGGTTCTTACCGCGCCAATCCGAAGAAGGGGCATTTATGGCTCCTGCAATAAGGGAATTACCGCCCGCGAAACCTTCTAGCTTAAAGTAAAGAGCAACAAAATCTATTCTTCATCTTTCAATAGTTTCCGTGTCCTTATAATAAATACTAATCCGTTTCGAGCCCTCGCTCCCAGCTGCAAAATGTGTCGCGATATTGCTTGGTTTTATGGATTGGAGTTTGTTGAAACTTAAATGTACATAGCGACGTCCCTTACACCGAGTTAACAATAATATTCAGCGGGTCGTCCGAGGTCCTTACCGCGCCAATGCGAAAAAGGGGCATTTATGGCTCCTGCAATAAGGGAATTACCGCCCGCGAAATCTTCTAGCTTAAAGTAAAGAGCAACAAAATCTATTCTTCATTTTTCAATAGTTTCCGTGTCCCTATAATAAATACTAATCCGTTTCGAGCCCTCGCTCCCAGCTGCAAAATGTGTCGCGCACATTTTTCGATTTACCGTTACAAGTTAGTCCACCCTCTACGTCGCTTTTCGGGAATTTCAGACCCTCCCTTCATTTTCTATTCCACCAATCGCGATGAGTTTACTTACACCTCCACCCCCGGTTAAGCGAGTAGTGCTCTGTGATAACAAACATCTTTTAACATCTCTTCTCAACTAGTTCAGCAAGGTTTGCGGCGATGAACCCACAATGATTTGAAAAAAAAAATGGTTCCTGTTATGGTCCACCTAACTTGGAAAGGGGCACAAAAGAACAGGCAAAACAAAACATTAAAAAAATCCAGGAAGTCTGAGATTAGACGGCGAATAAGTTACTAAAAGTCAAGAGTATTAATAATACGTCGATCTCGTTAAATTGACTGAAATGGTATTTTTCACATCACTAAGTATGCAAAAAGCCATTTAAATACTGACTCGACAAAATATAATCGAAATGATTGTTCGCCGTCTCTTCCCTGTCAATCCTGACAAATTGAGGGAAAATGTGAAAAATGAGAAGCTCACGGTATTACGGAACGTTTTAGTGGCGAAGATGCGAGACCATTCATATGAACTGACTCGGCATAAATTTTTAAGCAAAATGGTGACGCATACAAGAAAAGATAGAAAAATAAGCGCCGTGAATGCCATCTTCCACGGATTGACACCGAAATTCAAAATGGAAAACCTCCTGGGTGTTTCGATTTTTGGCAACAATCGTATTCGGGGACGTAATAATAACCTTATTAGAAGAAGAAAAGAATTACGTGATGCCTCAGACCAATTTTCGTTAGAAGAAAGAGAATGTACTAGGATGTACAGGTTAGTTCTTGTTATTGCGCGGTTATATTACATTATTAAACATTGAAAACTGTTAAACAATTCATGCTTACATGACATGATAAGAAAATTATATGGTTGAATTTCTAATTATAGTACATGTAAACATGAATGTAATACATATTTAAAAAATATAGATAGACTCGAGTCCTCTTTACTTTTAACGGCTTTCCATCTTCCCGCCTTTCCTGCCTATAACCCATTATCTCTCAACAATTTTTTATTTACAAGGTATGTACCTTTATTTACGATATTACTAGACCGGAAGTGCTAGTGATCTCGTTCTTTCATATAGCGAACACGTAATTCGGCGAATAAACCCACGTGAGATGAAAGTGCGAGTAGGCGCTCTCGTCAAAAATACGTAATAAACACCCTGAGATAAGAAGGATCTCTGCCAAATCAGAGATGAGTTGAGAGATTCACGGGAAGGATCGAGCGACCGCGTCCTGTGCGACCTCCGGTGGAGGATGCAGACGGCTAATGCACTTGCCACCTGTTTACAACTCTGGGCAGCCGGAGAACCGGCTGAAAAAGTTAAGAACTCCTCACAAAAACTCCAAAACTCTGTATCCCCTCCGAAAAAAATCGCAGCCACTAGCTCGAAAGATCAATTTAAACCGAACAACGTTCTCCATCAAGCTACCGTGGACGTAATTCGCATCGCGAAAAGAATTCACAAACATCCTTTAACATCTTTTAACATCTTCTACCAACAAGTGCAGCAAGCTCGATTTTGATTACCTGCCCATGATGATTTTACCAAAAATGGTTGCTTCCAGGTGATCCACCTAAACCTGCAAAGGGGCACAAAAGTACAGGTAAAACGGAACATTGAAGAAACACCAGTAAGTCGCCAGATTCTCCGAAGTGGCCCA